AAAATCTAATGAAATAGCGGACTAATGTTAAACAGTAACTCTGTGGTGGATCACTAACTCTTAAACAGGTTGAAAGGACTCATTATTGGCCAACGGTTATTAATGTTTGATTTCAAATACCAAGCTAATTAGTGTACATTTCTTAGTTGTCTGGTTACATTCATTGTGATTTTACCCATCAAGTTTATTTTATTCACACTGTCTTCACCAACCTGATGTGATGCAATGGCTTAGGGTATTCAGAGTGTACAAAAACATGACTAAAAACAGGCAATAAACTTCTTCTAAGTTCATCTCACACATTGCCCTGATTTCAGCTGCCAGTTCATACGGAGATCTGACAGTTTGCTCTCAGCAAATACAAAATACACAAATGTACAAATGCGAAAATTATTTTCCAGGATGATGAAGTGTTTTTCCATGACATAGTACAATTTATCACAGTTTCCATGTCTTTTCCATGACTGGAAAACTGTCTTAAAAATTCCAGGTTTTCAAGGATACATGGAACCCTGCCAAGGAAAGAATGGGCATTGTGTGCTCCATTAAACAGAAAAGGCTTGAAGAGTTCCATTCCAGTGACTAATTTCTGTGTGAAAATCAACAATAGAAAAGACCAAAAGAAACTGGAGAAGAGTTTCTAAGGCAACAGTGATAATGTTGTGGGTGTGGGAGGATTGTCAATAGACTTACCAGTCCCCATGATTCCCAGTGAGTCTGTTTAGACTTATCTGTAGAAAACCAAACACATGTTAATGGAATTAATGTGTGTACATTAATGATGTACAGATTCAAACCTGCTGATATAAGATAGACAATAATCAACTTGGGGTCTCCTTTCAAAAACTTCACATCCTCCTTTGTGGCATAACTTTACTGAACATTTGTTGCTGTCTTTAAATCCTGGAAGGCAAAACGAACGGAAGCAATACCACACGTTTTCAAGAACTGTCTCAACAACCTCATACAGGAAATCATATATTAATTAAATCTCTCAAACCACTAATCAGTTTAAAGAAAATAAACGGGAAGCTACGGGTGTATGCAGTACACAGTTGTGCGGTACGAAACCATTGCATCCCTTTGTCAGATCTTTTCTAAATGCTTTGGAGGAAAATAAGATAAGGAGATTACACTAAACTGAGGTAATAATGCTACTGTTTAACAGTCACAGGGCGTTGTTGCCTTGTGAATAAGACACCCTTGACCAGGGATGTCCAATGGCGGCTACTGGACAGTGTTACACATGGATGTGTCACGGCCTGGAATCCTACTCCTCAATGCCCAAAATAAACCGCCAGCTGCGGAAACATCACTAACAAAGCGCCGTCGCCCCGAGAACCGGAACAACAAATGCGAGCCTCGAAACTGTTAGGCTAAGCTTCACTGTGGCTGCTAACGCACTGTTCTCGACCTTATGCTTGGTTGTTGCTGCCCGGGTTTGTTGCTAGTTATTGACAAGCGGGGATGATTTGTCGCCTCGGATGCAATTTAACGGGTGACACATAATTCGAAAAAGACACAAACGTCGAAAGAAAGACCTCCATATGCTAGTTTTTTACTTCGCGTCGAAGCACTCCGTGAGTATACAAAGTTTGTCACGCTACCTTACCTGTTTTCGTCCCCAAAATGCGCATAAACGAAACCTCAGCTCCTCTGTTGCCTCAAAGTGTTGCTATGCATAGTGCGCATGCGCAATAGTCTGTTTGCGCACCGGCTCCGTTTTTCCGAGTTAAAGGGAAAATGCAAACAAAACACCAACTGTATAGAAGATTCAAAACAGCCATAGTAAGTCCTTAACATGAGGTGTTATTGCACACTAATTAAGAAAAATAATTTAGCCCAACATTACGTCAAAGGTTACAAAGTTTGTATCACCACAGTGTTTTGGACAGGTCTCACTGTTGAAATAAAGGCTACATTCATCTTACAGACTTGAACACTCAATTCCAATCATTTTGTCAGATCTGATCTTTTTAAGTTGATGGTTCACATTCAGGTGGCATGTATCCAGCTTCAATGTCAACACATTTGAGGACCTAAACTGCCACACATGCTCAAATTGAAATGAAATATGAGTCATGTGCATAGTCTGCAAGAATGACAATAACACAATTTGTGCCACAGTCAAATCAAGCAATTCAAAAACTATATGTGCCTTTCTGTTTGCCTTGAACAATAGCTTTTCCATAAGTGTCCAACAAATGTGAAACATCCTCTTGTCTCTCCACTGACCCCAGTAAAAAAAAACGGCATTCATTTTTAACCAGTAGTCTATGAGGTTCCTACATTGAATCCTGGCAAAATGTAATATTATTTAAAAAACAAACTAACAATCAAAAACATGGATTCCGATCTGTTCATTTGCATAATCAGAGATCAGATATGAATTAGATGACCTAGAACCATTTATGTGTAAATATGTATAAGTGGCCTAGATCTGATTTGAAAAAATCCTAAATCCAATTTGATTTGCTCATGTATTCATTAAAATATCAGATCTGAATCACTTGGAGGGAAAAAAATGGAACTGGGTCACTTCAGCACGTAATGTGAACGTAGCTAAAGAGTTTGCTAAAAAGACAAATGAAGTGACATATTGGAAGAGGATTTTCTACAAACCTGGCAACCTAAGCCTAAAGAGCTCAGTGGAGCTACAGTAATTAAGTACATTTCTCTATGTGTTACCATTAACAGACATTCATTACAAATAGAAACCCTTTATAATTGGGGGCTTATCTGAAAATGACACTAATATAAATCAATTAATTAATTAGTACATAACTGAAATAAGAGGAGCGCATCCTTTGCCAGTGTTTGAGTGATCAACAAATCTTATGAGTTTGGAATAAAAATAGGTGATGATGATAAAAAAATATTCACCGATTTCATCAGATTTCAGTCCAGTTTGGTCTAACATGCAATTTTCCAACACATTTTTTCTATTATTTTATTTTTAAAAAAGATTATCAATTAACTTGTCATCCTATCTTTTTTGTTTTCCTGTTTTCATCTGCAGAAATAATTAACAGAATCTTCTCCTTTTATCATCATGATTCACTGTACTGTATTTACATTTTTTTATATGTTTGTCTTTTTTTATTTCAGTCCAATTGACTTTCTCAGTAACATGAACACAAAGTTTATTGCCAAATCTACATTATATTATATGACAACCAAATTTTAAGGCATTCATACAAATAATTATTATTATGTTGAATATATGTAATTATTGACATTTTCTTTGCCTCAAAGAAAGAAATCCCCTTCCAATCAATTGCAATTACTTATTACTAAACAATATACAATACAGTGCCTTGCGAAAGTATTCGGCCCCCTTGAACTTTGCGACCTTTTGCCACATTTCAGGCTTCAAACATAAAGATATAAAACTGTAATTTTTTGTGAAGAATCAACAACAAGTGGGACACAATCATGAAGTGGAATGAAATTTATTGGATATTTCAAACTTTTTTAACAAATAAAAAACTGAAAAATTGGGCGTGCAAAATTATTCAGCCCCCTTAAGTTAATACTTTGTAGCGCCACCTTTTGCTGCGATTACAGCTGTAAGTCGCTTGGGGTATGTCTATCAGTTTTGCACATCGAGAGACTGAAATTTTTGCCCATTCCTCCTTGCAAAACAGCTTGAGCTCAGTGAGGTTGGATGGAGAGCGTTTGTGAACAGCAGTTTTCAGTTCTTTCCACAGATTCTCGATTGGATTCAGGTCTGGACTTTGACTTGGCCATTCTAACACCTGGATATGTTTATTTGTGAACCATTCCATTGTAGATTTTGCTTTATGTTTTGGATCATTGTCTTGTTGGAAGACAAATCTCCGTCCCAGTCTCAGGTCTTTTGCAGACTCCATCAGGTTTCCTTCCAGAATGGTCCTGTATTTGGCTCCATCCATCTTCCCATCAATTTTAACCATCTTCCCTGTCCCTGCTGAAGAAAAGCAGGCCCAAACCATGATGCTGCCACCACCATGTTTGACAGTGGGGATGGTGTGTTCAGGGTGATGAGCTGTGTTGCTTTTACGCCAAACATAACGTTTTGCATTGTTGCCAAAATGTTTGATTTTGGTTTCATCTGACCAGAGCACCTTCTTCCACGTTTGGTGTGTCTCCCAGGTGGCTTGTGGCAAACTTTAAACGACATTTTTTATGGATATCTTTAAGAAATGGCTTTCTTCTTGCACCTCTTCCATAAAGGCCAGATTTGTGCAGTATATGACTGATTGTTGTCCTATGGACAGAGTCTCCTACCTCAGCTGTAGATCTCTGCAGTTCATCCAGAGTGATCATGGGCCTCTTGGCTGCATCTCTGATCAGTCTTCTCCTTGTATGCGCTGAAAGTTTAGAGGGACGGCCAGGTCTTGGTGGATTTGCAGTGGTCTGATACTCCTTCCATTTCAATATTATCGCTTGCACAGTGCTCCTTGGGGTGTTTAAAGCTTGGGAAATCTTTTTGTATCCAAATCCGGCGTTAAACTTCTCCACAACAGTATCTCGGACCTGCCTGGTGTGTTCCTGGTGTGTTCCTTGTTCTTCATGATGCTCTTTGCGCTTTAAACGGACCTCTGAGACTATCACAGTGCAGGTGCATTTATACGGAGACTTGATTACACACAGGTGGGTTCTATTTATCATCATTAGTCATTTAGGTCAACATTGGATCATTCAGAGATCCTCACTGAACTTCTGGAGAGAGTTTGCTGCACTGAAAGTAAAGGGGCTGAATAATTTTGCACACCCAATTTTTCAGTTTTTTATTTGTTAAAAAAGTTTGAAATATCCAATAAATTTCGTTCCACTTCATGATTGTGTCCCACTTGTTGTTGAATCTTCACAAAAAATTACAGTTTTATATCTTTATGTTTGAAGCCTGAAATGTGGCAAAAGGTCGCAAAGTTCAAGGGGGCCGAATACTTTCGCAAGGCACTGTATGTATCTGTAGTATGTGCATGTATATTGTGTATACTGTATTTGGATGCTGTTGTGTGGAACATGTACTGACTATGAAGACATGTGTCCCTCTGATCTGGGACAATAAAGACTGTTCATCTATTGTCTCACCTGCTTTAATTTTGTTTTTAGCTCATATCAGCTACACTGCCGAACATTACTGATAACAGGGGAAGAGACAAGAGATACTGATTTGTTTCCATGTGGTTTAACTTTTGCTTAATGCTCTGTGTCAGTCGATTTCAATCTAGGCACTGATATTTTGTACACATTGGTCAAATGCATGTATGATAATTCTGCTACAACGGTAATGTTATGCTGATGCTGATGAGTTTGTTCCTGTTTGGCTACACCAGGATTGTGTGTGTGTTGGTACCCATTGAATCTCTACAGTCTATAATCATTAGTAATGATGTTAAAAGACATTGCCGCCAAGGACAGTCGAGCTATAGTCACAAGACACACACACTCTAATGAAAACTGATGAGAAGTAGTGATAAAAGGGATCTTTCCCATCATAATGAAACTAGCCTACTTACTGTAAAAGAAGTAATAAAAATACATTTGATTATTAGCATTGAAATCTCCCTAAAACTTGTTTTATTCAATAGATGACCACTATTTTCTTCCACCTAGAAGCTGCAGTTAACATCAACTTAAAGTATATTAACAAACAGTCTAATCCTGAAGCTATTTTGCTCCAGAAAACATGTAAACGTGTTAATCAATATTCATTAGAGATTCTTCCCTAAGGACAAAGAATTAGTCAAGCTCATTGGAAAAAGGTGAGCAGTGTAATCTTCCCTCAGCTCAGAGAGAGAGAGAACATGGTGGAGAGACAGAAGAGAGAAAGAGAAGTGGGCTGAAGTGTGCAACAAAATAAAAGCAACTAAGTTGTACCCACTAGGACAGCATCCCCACCACCTCAATTTGTTGTTACATTTTAAAGACAGAGACCGGTGACAAGTAAAACGAAACACTGTGTGGTCTCTTCCAGGATGACAGTGCCTCCATCCATAGGGCAGGAGGGGTCACTGAATAGAAGTATGAAAATGATGTGAATCATATGCTATGGCCTTCACAATCTCTAGATCTCAACTCTGTTGCTCTGGACCGACGTGTTAGACAGCGTCTCCGCCATCATCAAAACACCAAATGAGGGAATATCTTTTGAAGGAATGGTGTTCATCCCTCCAGTAGAGTCCAGAGGCTTGTAGAATCAATGCCAAGAAGCTGCTCTGGTGGCACGCCGTGGCCCAATGATTCATTTGTCATGATCAATCCATGTGAGGGCGCTGACGAACTACAGACTGCTGCGCTGAATGTATTGAAAAGGTGCGCTGTTGTTGAGAATCGCCAAATCCACGCCCAATATGCGTACGTAATGGAACGCAGCTCATTTGTCATGATAAAAAAATTCCCTATATATGCCCTGATCAATCAATCATGTTACCGGTAACTGACAGCAGGTAAAGTCAGCCAGACTGTGTTTGTGCGCAATCTGCACAAACAACGTCATTTCTGTGCGCTACTGAGGCGTGCGTTGGTGAGCGTGAAAAGATACGCTCCACTTTAAGTGTGTGCAATATTAGAGGCTTCTTCAGTCCTGGCAATGTTCAAGCTAAAACGAAGAGTCTTCAGGGTTTTTCTGGAAACTAGCCTACACTTTCATCAGAGGCCAATTGCGCGCAATTGAACTGCGGCGACAGCTGTGCACAGGGAGGGGAAAGGACTGCGGGCAGTAAACAACGAGGGATTCGCTGCTGGCAAACATTTAGGATATTGTTGTTAGTTAATCGATTGAGGTTATTGATTTGGCGAATTTCCCAGAGCAGTAACAACGGAACACTAGTAATACATCTGCAGTTTTATTCAAATCCGAATGCAAGACTCGTAGTAGGAATATTTCTCTACAGTGTGAGAAAGATCTGAATAGCCTACTTCTCCCATCACTGCTGTTTTTCATTGAGAATAATTAAAAGCCTACACCACCCGACCACAAAGGTTTTATTGTTCACTCTGTCCTTTACTACATCAGTGACTACAGCCAGATGCTGTGTAAGTGGAGTGGGGACTAGGCACTAGGACCCAGCAGGTGTAGCACCGTGTTATTTCAGTGATCTGCAGAACAAGCTCGTCAGCAGAGCGCTGGGTCTACAGAAGCGGCGGCAGCGTCCTCTGGACTCAGGGCGCGGATGAGCGGCGGCTCCCCATCCTGCTACCCACAGCACGGACACGGGCACGGGCTGGGGGGACTACCACAACTCAGTCTCGATTCATTTTGTAAACTTGAGGGAAAAGACTAACTTGCCACAATAACACACGCGTTGTTGTTTTTTTATTACTTCTGTGTTCTTCCTCTTCTTCTCCTCCCTTTTTAATAAGTGAGATACTTTTGATATGGCTTCATCCGTGAGCGGCACAGAGGAGGTCCGGGTGTCGGCGTTGACGCCCCTAAAGTTAGTGGGACTCTTGTGCGTCTTTCTCGCTCTGTGTCTGGATGTCGGGGCCATGCTGAGCCAGGCGTGGGTCACGGCCGATGACCAGTACTACTTGTCCCTGTGGGTGTCCTGCTGGAGGCCCGCTGTCTCCGTGGACTGGTCCTGCACCAGCACGCTGGCCACCGGTGAGAGACACTCGGGTATTTAGCTTAGGCTACACTTTTAGATGGGCTGATGCGCCACCGTTTCAAACCTTTCAGTGCTGTAGATTTATATATGTTTCACCCTGGAAATGGCAGAGTTTGGGGTTCAGACAGACACGCACATTCATATGCAAACGAAAGCCAGATGCACAGCGCTGTGGGATGATAAAGGGTCCCTGCGGACAATGCACCGATCATCCCATCTGTTCTGTTTGTGATAATTATAAAACATTACCCCAGAGAGGGATAAATGTTAATTAATTTATAATTAGCTATTGCATGCTCAATTTAAACTGCAGAACTTTGCTGCATGAAATAAGACAGTGACACTGGGGGCGCACAGTACTGCTTCCCAAGTGGGAAATAATCTATTTTATTTAAAAAACCCTTTACTCTCAAATCAGACACCTTTGATTTTCGATCTAGATCCTGAAACATTTGCCCCTCGCTCCGTTGAATGATGTGGGAATGTTGCCTTGCCAGGAACGGTCCAGCTGGGGTTTCATTTGGCCTTTTGTTGCGCACAAAATGAGCCTTTGTGTGGGTTTCTTCACCGGCTAAGAAACGACTACAGCTCAGGGCAGAGAACTCCCCAGAGATCCAGATGCCTGGAGATTAGTAACCAGGGAAACAAATGAAGCACTCCAGAAATGCTGATGTTCTCTATTAAGGACATTTCTGTGTGGAGTCCCAACATTAAGCTTTTTCTTCTGGAAGTATTTCATATTTCCATCACAGCTGGTCATTCAGCAAATGTGACAGAACTTCCAGACTATTAGTGTCTATCACTAAATAATCAGCATTAACAACAATTAGTTGTGATTTCAGAAAAGCATTTGTTTATACCTAAATAAAAAAAATGATGACAATCAAATCTAATGTAATCTCATAAAACAGCCCTGTTTATTTTTATGGTGACTGAATCAGTTGTGGTTGTTAGGCCACAGTTTGTGTTGTATTTGACTGAACCATACTGTGGTTCACAAAATTCAAAAGTAAAGTTTATTGTCAAAAACCACAATAAGTGGCTGCAAAATGTCAGAACCGATCAGAAAAACAATAAGTTCCAGACACCTGTTGAGTTTTTATCAGGTGCATTGTTGGTGTCCAACCACAGTAACTTATATACCTGATATACTGTATTTTTCACTTTTGCATGAAATTATCTCAAAGGAATTTTTATCAGCCTAAAATATGTCTAAAGTATATTCTGCAAATGTAAAAGCTGGGTAGACCTTATGTAGGATTATCCTGCATGGCAACCCTGACTACAGTGTGTCTATGTTTTTGTGCCTCTGACCTTCTCCTGTATGCTGAGTGGTAAACTGTGTTTTTGTTAGCCTGACAAAATGTTTTCTTTCTGTCTGAGACGAGTAACTGTGGGTCACGCTGGCCCCGATCCTCCTCTGTCAGCATAGACAAAGTGCACTTTGGTGCCATATAAAGACATGCAGTCTGTGTGTCAGCTCTCCACTCTCAGCAGCAGCAACAGCAGCATACCACAGTAAATGCTCGCAGCAAACTGTCCATTTCCTCAGATTTGTGCTTGGCCAAGCTTATTGATTTGAATCCCAATAATCAGTTTCTACCCCCAACCATCACCCCACCCCCTCTTTTCTCAGAATCATGCTCTGAGCATTAAATCCTGTCAGTTTGAAACTGCTCAGATGTTCTGAGTTTGTTCTGTATGGCCTGCATGTGTGCATGTCTGACAAAGCACAATAACATGCAGTGGTAAATGGTCTTATACTTGTATAGCGCCTTTCTATGCTTTACAGCACACTCAAAGCGCTTTCACACATTATTCGGCCATTCACCCATTCGCACTCCCAAGCACTCATGCATTCACACACCGGTTCAGTGTCTTGCTCAAGGACACCTCGACATGTTGAGGTTAGGAAACGACCCGCTCTACGCTAATCCTCCGGTTAGGAAACGACCCGCTCTACCTCCTGAGCCCCAGTGTTGGCCTGTTACTTGCTTGTGAAGCATTTAAAATAAACATTCTATATGGTAGCGCTCTATCTGTTTGTTGCTTATAAACACAAGCTTAAAGAAGGACGTCAAAGGTCAAGTATAAAAGGTATAGACTTGACATAGGGCTAGGAATGTGGAACAGCTATGAAAGAGCAGTATATGGATGCCAGGTATGTGTGAGATGAGGGGACAACAGTGGAGCCAGTGTGCGAGTGAGTCCAGCTCATTCACACACAGGGTGGCAAAGCATTAATAGAACATTATTAATAATGCACTATTGAACTGTATTTGGGCCATTGTCTTCTTTTTGAAGGAGCTCACAGCACAGTGTGGGTTATTTAGAACTGAAAGGGGTTCAGTGTCTTGATCGAACCGGGGTCTTGAGCCAGAGACCTCTTCCTGCTTTACTTCTTCATGATGCTCCCCTGAAAGAGCATGAGGGTACGTGACATCGAGAGACAAACTTCAGGCTCTTTTGTAACACAAATCTTCCACCAGTGTCTCAGACAAAGAAGGAGAATTGTGCTCCTAAAAGATTTTTTCCATTACCACCTCACCAGTCCCCAACATGCACGTGGGATCCATAATTTATGCTCAGATTGGATCTTGAATACAGTATCTCCTCTTCCATCTGTCATCGTGCAGGGCTCAGATTAATAGTTTGGCGCATCCTCTTCATCAAAGCCTTTAAGCACTCCAACTCTGGCTGTGTTTCTTGTGCAACAGCCTGGGTCTGTTCCAAATCTGAGATGAGATGACTTTCTGCATCCTTCTGCTTCATGAGCGCACTGATAAGGCTTTTGGTTGCAGGCTGGCTGGGCTGAAGGCAACAAAGTGACCCAGAGAAGATATCTCACTAACGATGGAGTGTGACAACTGCAGGGCAAGTCGCTGTGGCCCTTTGCTGAGAAGCAGCCAGTGAGGTCGTTCCAGAGAAAGAGTATGTTCTTAGAGGGGGCTTCATGTTGTGCAAGCTGGAGGGTGGAGACAATGGGTGCTCTGCTTTTTGTGGGCTCTGTCCATATCCTGTGGTGACAGGGCCCATTTTAAAACTTCCAATCCTGAACCATATTTGGCTAAAAGTAGTTGCTGTTTGTTTATATTTGAGCTGCTTGGCCCCTGGAATAAAGTTCCCTTCCAACAAGAGTGGGAAATGTATTTTAAGCAGCTTGTGTTCCTTCACTTTCTCCCTGCTGGTGACTGTTTTCATTTTTTTCTGCCTCAATAGAGACAAAATATTCTTGGCGGCGGTTAATCTTTTTTTTCCCTTAGACAATAAAATGTAAAAAAGGCTAAACATATTGTCTGTCCAATGTGAACTTTTCCACCCACTGTAATATTCAATAGAGCCCAATACAGTTTTGTTTTGATGTTACCCCCCGCCCCATACGTCAAATCATTTCCTCCTGTGTAATCAAATGCCTCCTCATAGTATCCTCTGTTTACATATAAACCTCCTGCTTCTGTGAGTACACAGTAAAGTTAGAAAAGAAACTCTTAATCTCTAAACAACAACGTACAATGTCTCTCTCAACAATCCTCAGTTAACGTTCCATGGCTACAAACAAACAAAAATCTCTACAGGTTTTTCTTTTTGTCAGCCACATACTGTAGGCTTCCCTTATTGGTTCCACTTAGGCACTCGTACTAGGATAAGAAGTGAGACTGACACAGCAGCTGTTCCAGCTGAGTGTTTTTGGCATAAATCTGAATAAAAAGCTGAGAACACTGCTGAACTGGCATGCAGTAAAAGGGAGGAATATCTGAGATACCTCACAGAACTTCTTTGCCTTTCTGCTGCATTGGGATGCATTAATCTGTGCACAGCCAAGCATGTGTGCATTTGTTTATTTCTTGTCAGCCAGAAATGGCTGTACTTGGTTCGGGGCTTATTCACTGCATGGTTCACATTCTTCTTCTGCCACTGGCCACAAATAGTTCATTTCACTCTTGGAAATTCACTGTAAACTCCAGTGGGAGGAATCTAGTGTAAGACTGAGCATGGCAGTGTTACTGTGGCTCACCAGTATGACCTGTGACCTGTATGACCTGTGACCTACTCATCCCTCCTCGTTTATCTCACCACTTTCCTCTCTCCTGTCAACAGCGCACACATGGCTCTCTGGAGTAACCTTGTTTTAGCTACCTATGTCACTCCATATCTCACTATGATTCCATGCTTTTCCTCCCTCATCCCCCTCCCTCCTCTGTCCTTGTGTGTGTGTCAGACTGGCAGATCTCCACAGTCGCCCTCATGTTGGGGGGGGCGGCCCTCACCCTTCTTGCCTTCCTCGTGGCCATGGTTTCCCTGTGTTTCGGCTCCAGGAGTCGCTGCTACAAACCTGTAGCTGTCATGTTGTTTTCTGCAGGTATGTAAAGAAAAAACAAGAAGGTAGAGCTGAAGGAACATCCAAAATACACAATAACAGCCCAGCTTCTAAAAAAAAAAGTATGGTTATGGTAGGCTGGAAATATCTAAGGCAATAAAATCATTGATCATTTAAAGCCTGGGTGCCTTCTATTTCCCATCTTCTACTTTAAGTAAGTTGATGTTATGTTACTGTATATAAATATATATTCTGATTTGATCATATTCCTTTTTCTCCTCTGCAGTGGTCCTTCAGGTGTGCAGTTTGGTCCTGTTCCCTATCAAGTTCATAGAGACAGTAAGTATGAGGGTGTACCATGAGTTTAACTGGGGCTACGGCCTGGCCTGGGGATCCACCATCTTTTCTTTTGGAAGTGCCATCCTCTACTGCCTCAACCCCAAGAACTATGAGGACTACTATTAAAATATGTGAGACAAGAGGAGAAACCAGGACTCTGTTTCAGCCATGTCCTGTCAGCAACAGGAATTTGCTGTCTGTTACACAGTGCACAACAAAGACTAGAAAATTACATATTTATATAAACCTAATCATCATTGTTAGTTTCAGGACTGGAAACAAGCTCTTCTATTTGATTCTGTGAACTTACTCTCTCAAAGACTATCCTCCCTTATTGGACTGAAGCACCCATGCTCACTTAGGAGTTTTAGAAGCAACCCCAGCTGTGAAGAAACCTAAAACAAGCCTGTTTAAACTGGGAAGAATGTTACCACTCAGATAAGTCTGTGCCCTCTTTAAGTGGAGCTCCAGTAGGTCTTAGATTTGGGCAGAAAACCTGGTGAGAACAGATGGGCTGACTGACCCCATACCGGGAAGAGCTGGCGGACTAATTAACCACTGTAAGCAAAGGAGGCAAGGAATGAGGTAAACTTGGGCCAATCACAGAATTAATGAAGCCAGAAAGAAAAATGTCTGGCTAGCATGATATCCTGAGGATCAGGTCACACCTAAGGAAATGCAACATGCTACATTTCCCCAGAGATACACTGCATCTGGAATTTGGGCTAGCCTTCTTCCTCTAGTAGCGTATAAAATACTGGTGTAAACATGCCATGAGGCTCCAATGGACTGGCTTTGTCTTCTCCTGAACTGGGTCTACTAAAAGCACTAGAGATTCTAATAATAAACACAAGCTACCTAAAGTAAAAACATTCCACAGGCACCTTCTAAATCATATCATACTGCTGAAGGTAACATTGAAGTGTTAATGAATAGCAGTCTGACACATGTACAGTGGCAAAACCTTTGGCAGCACAAACCCAGTTATACCTGCTTTTTGATAACATTGTATCATATGCAAGTATGCACAGTAGGAAAAATGCTGCTCATTCCAAGCACACCAATGGGAACAGAAATGGCAAATGACCGTGTCTGCCTTTCTGCGTGGTCATTCCACTGCGACCCTGCTACATGAATGGGTTTGACAGCAGAGCACAGTGCCCACTGCTTCCTATCTGAAAATGGCTTTATGAAGACTTGATCTGTTAAGTGTAAGGAGGACAGTGTTATCATGGGAGGTTAGGCATGTGGGTAGAAGACCTGCACTGAGCTGGCAACCTTCTCAAACCTTATTTGAGGTGGTCAAACTTCTATTCCCTCTTGTAATATTTAGTGAAGGGGAGTGGATGTGTGCATGCCACTACCATCTGCTGATATATTTCTGATTCCCACTGGTTGATTGCAAGCATAATAAACATGTTCCAGAAAAAACAGTTTGATTCGTTTGGGAAAAAAGGAACTCTGACAACCATGTAGACATGCCAGCTGTTTGTGGTCAAGTCACATAGAATCAGCTCCTTTATTAAGTACAGCAAGTTGAGGCATTTACACAGAAAATCAACATCTTCTGAACACATAATACAAGGTGGCAAATGCATAGAAGTACCAGTAATATACTCATATGCAAATGTCTCTAGTGTTCTTCTTTCAGTGAAATTAGCTCTAATACAGAGCCGGATACAGTGTACACTCTACTTTTCGCATTAGTCAGATCATATATACCACTGTTTTCATTGTTTCCACTGTCAAAGGGAGTTACAGGTCCTGGATTAAAGTGGATGTGCCCCCATTTTGAGTTCAGGAATGGATGCAGTTTTGTAAACAGGGCAGTCACTCATTCTGTGTGGAATGTTCGCTTGGTAAAGCATAGCTTTTCCTCCTCAACCCTCAGTCGTTCTGACCATTCTGAAGCCCCATCGAACCCACTGCCAAAGTTGCAATATCTCACTCCTTCTGTTATATCTTTGCCATGAGAAGAGTCTCCAGCTGTCCTGAAACCGCCAATAAAAACGAGGGTCAAAGTGCACAGGAGCGGTAGATGGGAACAGGACAAGTGGAAAGAGAGGGACAGTGGCTCTACCTCAGCAGGTAAGAAGGGCTTATATATTGATTGACAGAGAAAGACCTCAAGAGAGATCCTGGAGGGGTGGGGTTTATAGTATCCAAGGATTGGCGAGGGGTGGGGTAGGGGAGGCAATACAGCGCTGCGCTAAGCTCAGGTGTAGCGCGGCATCTCGCACTGTTCACAGCGGTTGAGTGCAGGGTGGTTGAGGAAGGTGCAGCTATCACAGTTCCACTGGGCGCCTTCAAAATCCTCGTCCCTCTGGGGTCCCAGTACAGGCTTGGAGCCATGTTCCCCTTCTGACAAAAAACAGAGTCGTAGTACATGAAAAACTATTCATGTGCAAAACACAACAGCAATTGTGGCCTGGTTTTCACACAAAATCCTACAAATCTTCAATGTGCTTGAAGTTTAAAAAGACAAATATAAGAATAAACACAGACCTGAGTAGTCTTAAACTGAAACTCAGATCTGAATCTTGCAAACAGTAATAAACTTGTTCTGTCTTCTGTTTTTTTGTCTCTTCTTTACACATCCTTAAGACAATGACTCAAGTGACTCACATTTTTATCCTTAAAACCAAAAACGTCTCACCTTTCTTCCCAGGTTTGGGAGGCACCACTGGCCCAGGCTCTATGTTGTCATAAAAGTTGTTCATTGCTTTCGGGTCAAACTTTCCTGTGGAGGAAAGGAGGAGTCAGATACAGAAGTTTCTTTAGAAATGCCAGCCAGAGGTCCAATCATTTTGCAGCCAAGTCTCTTAAACAACTGCCTTGTTCAGGCTGACAATATAAGCCTCCTCATTCACCACTGTAACACAGACTATAGCACAAAAAAAGAAAAGGTCAATGGTCAATTTTTATAGCAATGTAACAAAACACTGCCTGGCTACACACCATGTTGGCCAATCAAATCGACACGAGTGCACACACATTCCTGTGAACTCCTGTGCAATCCCACAGATTACCCCAGGAGTGTCAAGATGTAACATCCTGTCTCATAGTATTACAAACCATTATACAGTATTCTGGCACCATCAAGAGATGGTGCCTTGGTTTTTTTCACATAGACAGGAGAGACACTGTTTTAAGATGACTGCTGCTTGAAATAAGAGTTTACTTTTTCTTGAGTGTTTATATAAACAAATCAGACACAATTGTCAACATGGGATTTTACTCTCTGTTGAGTGTAGTCTACACAGCTACAGGCTTACACTCAGATGTTAACTTGATTTACCAATTTATTTTTGCTAGTTGATGGAATTTTCTTCAAGCAAACTTATCTAGCTGGACTCCTAGAAGCACGCAAAGCTCCCTCTCACAAATTACGACTTTAAATTTGCTGCACAACATTAAGTATAGTCAATTATTTTTCAAAAGCCTGTTACAACATCCATCCATTCTACTATTCTCTACAATTGTAAATTTTGCCATTCAAATAACTAGCCATGTTTCTAACACTAGCCTGGAGGTAATGTATGCACCACTAAAGATATTTGTGTGTCAGCCCAGTAAAACTAGCTTTTTGTGGAGCGCTAGCTGTTTGCAGATATCTCCATTGGTTAAATTCATATTTCTAAATGTAACCAACATTCACAGTAATGGGTTGTTGTGTACACCCATGAAATGTCATGTCCTAACTCTATACATGCATTTCATTGTCTGCTAACATGTGACATGAAAGAAATACAATGTTTAAACTTAGTGGCTGGCCAGAAAATCCAATTTTTTGAAGCAGTTCTTTTCTAGCAAGCAAAGATTTATTTATTGACAGACCAGGCCATACTCAAAAATTGAGAGAGTGGCACTCCTGAAAGCAACAATTAAAAAGCTCAGAGACATTGTACATGCAACCCAGCCGCCCAGGTACATCACCATTCATAGTTTTATGGAAGAGTGGCAAAGATAAAGCCACTGCCATTCGAGAGACTGAAACCAAGAGGAAGAATGGTCTAATATCCTACAAGATCAAAATGTAGCTTTTTGGTAATTTTGCTTAACACCATGTTTGCTTGTAATCCACAAAATCCCAACCATGAATCCTTACCTGCAATATCATTCAGTGCCCTGCAAGTCTTATGAAGGTAGAGTAATACAGGAAAATACAGAAAAAATGAAGAAGAAACTCTGCTCCTGTGTCAAAAAAATTGGGGGTTTTTTCCCCCAGGAAGACCATAGCTCAAATATCCAGTTGCACAGTGCTGACTGCAAGTAAACTGGTCACACTCTTGAGCCTGCTGCCAATTAGTCTCTTAAAGCTTTCAACATCACCACTCCTGGTAAGTACATAAATCACTGCAACTAACTTCCACAAACTGTAATTAGGAGCATTTTCAGGCAATACTGTTAGCAGTAATCAACAAGGACCATGTACCAGCCAAACACTGCACAAACCTAGTGAGGGTAAACGATAGATGGTCCTGGGCCCTGCCATCAGTATGCAGTGTGACAGAGCCTCATCCATCATGTCGGACCAAACTCTGTCTGCTTCTGGGCTTGGCTATTTCAAGATCAATGCTTTCAAATAACTTTTGTGTGCACAAATAGCATTTATGTGTGCACATGGGGAGTGTGCAGACACACTGCAAAGGTTTGTGTGGGAATGTGCATTTATGTGTGCACATGGGGAGTGTGTGTGTGTGTGTATGTATACCTCTAGATTGCAATAGATCCGTCTCCTTCAGGGTACAGTCAATATCAATCTGAAGCTGTCTGTTCAGATTTCGCAACCGGGTCATCTCTTCAGGCTGCAGCCAGTGCAAACACACAACACAGATACCAGAAACAGTTTTCAAACTTACTAGTATGACATTGTTTTTAATGTCATGCTGTATGATACAGTAGTTCAAGTTATCCTTGTTTGCACCTGAACTACTAAGTAAAATTTGACTGTTTTTAAAATTAACTGTAATCATTTTCTGCCTGAAAAGCAAACAATCGCAAAACCTGACTCAAACCCAGAATGTCAGTTACAATGTCCCTCACAGAGCCGACTGAGCCTCCACGAGTACAAGATAAAGACAGAGTCTAAGTCATTAATAACTTCACAGTCTGTGAAAAACTATAAAAAGTTTTGTGCTGTCAAAAAAAAATTTGAAATGTGAAAAGAGCAATAGGGTACTGGTGAGGCCACATATGTATTCAGTCCTTACTCTGGGTAAAAGATTGGTCAAATTGACTCGTCGGAAGCGTCTTTGAAGGGCGTCATATTCCATGCTGTTGACATCAGCCTTTAAGTGATCTAGTTTCTGTTTCTCCAGCAGCAGCTCCTTCATTAAACGCTCCATCCTGGCACGCTGGTGGAGCAGGAGAGCTGGAGAGAAACACACCAATCACAAAATGGTTGAAATTCCAAAGTAAATCTATAAATGGTGGCGCAGTGGTTAGCACCGTTGCCTCACAGCAAGAAAGTTTTGGGTTCGAGCCCAGCCGACCTGCTGCCTTTCCGTGCAGAGTTTGCATGTTCTCCCTGTGCCTGCGTGGGTTCTCTCAAGGTACTCCGGCTTTCCCCCACAGTTCAAAGACATGCACCTTAGACTGACTGGCGACTCTAAATTGCCCGTAGGAGTGAGTGTGGGTGTATGTGGTTGTCTGTTTCTAAGTGTCAGCCCTGTGATAGACTGGTGACCTGCCCAGGGTGTACCCCGCCTCTCACCCAGTGTCAGTTGAGATTGGCTCCAGCACCCCCTACAACCCCCATTCAGGATAAGCTGTATAGATAATGGATGGATAGATAGATTTCTATTAGTGACCATATAGATGGATACAGTAAACACTGGGACAGCAGAAGGGGCTATGGCAAGCAATAAATGCACCCAGCTGTAATGGAACAGGGATACACTAGTTATATAGTACACTTCTTAACCACCAAGACACACAGTTGTCATCAAATTCTAAGATGATATGCACCTATAATCTCTGTTCAACAGTGGTTTAAGGAACACCAGCAGGAAATCAAATGTCTAAGGTGAAGTCAGCTCTTCACAGGCTAAATGCTAGTCCTGGTCTTTATGTTAGACAGCACAACTCCAACAGCAAACCATTAGTATCAGAGTTACACACATACAGAGTAGTAGACAGAAAAAACAATCCCTTACCTTGTGTGTAGGCATAGTCATCAGAGCCTGAGCTTGAACGTCTGGGTATTTGCTCAAATTGACTGGGAACATTCCCTGGTAAAGCGGAGATGGGAAGAATGGGTGCAGGGGCAGCACTGTGTTCCCCTTGGTCTACTATGTTGAGAAGAGATTCTGTTTCAGCCACAGGTGGTGAGCTGGATGGCCTCTGAGCCTGGCCTCCAGGGGACACTTTGATTTTTAACGTGTAGGCTGACTGGGCTAGTTGAGGTGAGGATGCAGGTCGAGGCCTTGCAGGGCCCTGGTGTTGCAGGTACATCCCAGGGTGGAAGGTTGTTGGGCCTGGAGGTGCACTCATAGTGATGCCCCTTGAAGGGGAACTGGGCGAGGGGCTAGTGGCTATGTAAAGCGCTCCTTGGGGGTGGGGGGTATGTACAGGTGAGTTGCTGCGTGGTCGTGGGCCCTCCAAGGTAATCTCTATCTGGTTCTTGAGGGAGCTTTTTGTGTGGTAGGGTCTGTAAACAGTTGGCTGTTGCTGCGGTTGTTGCTGCTGATGATAGGTCATGCTAGGCAGGGTTGGGGAGCTAACAGGGAGGAAGACATATTGTTGGTGCTGCGGTTGCGGCTGGACCTATTGTTGGTGCTGCGCTTGCGGCTGGACCTGATGCTGCGGGGAACTGTAAGGCGAGCCGTATGTGGGAGTACTGTAGGGGGACTGCTGATGCTGATAAACAGGTGCCCCTGGTGAGGACCAGGGCGCTGGCTGTGGGCTCTGGGAGGGTGAAGGTCGAATATACAGAGTGGTGTTGGTGCTGTTGGCATAATGCCCAGGAGGGATCTGTAAAGCCTGCGGGACATTGGGTATACTTTGCGAAAGCGTGACTGTTATAGGGTTCATTGTGTAACGTGGGACAGGTGAGTATGTGGGAGACATGCCCTGCATTGTGGGTGGAGGGGTGGGAGTGCTGGCTGAGCGGCTCTGATCATTCATGAAGAAAGGATTGTAACCTGGGGAGGGTGCCATTGTGGCAGGGGCTGACAGTGGCTCAGGGTAGCTGGGTCGATGGGGTTCAATGTGACTGTCACTGGTGCTGTGCACTAAGGAGCAACCCACCCCTGCTGCTCCTCCATTTGTCTTATTTGCCTCTGAGCCCGGATAGCCCAGGTTAATGTGTAGCATGTGATTTTGGCTCAGTCGTACCTCCTCTGGACTGTGATGGAACTCCCCATACAGGTATCTATTACTCTCCTGAGCCAGCAGGTGGCAGCAAAGATCCAGGTTGTTGTTGTTCTGAGACAGCAACAGAGAACCGTTTTGGGAATGCAATTTAAAGCAGTGGGACAATTTGCTCATCATGCTGCCTTATGGTCTAGCATACATCAAAATGTGTTAACTAGAAGTTGGTAAAGCAGTATGAACAAAGCAGGATGACTAAAGTCAAACAACCTTCTAACCAAGTTAATATTCTCACACTCTCACAATTTTCCAACATTCTCCAAACAGATCATTTTTGTGCATATAAGAATAAGTGAGTGTGTATGTGTGCGAATACCTGCAGAAGGCACTGTGACACTACTCCCTCTGGGATCTCCGGGAAACGCTGCTTGAGGTCCTGCAGGATGTGGTAGTCGAGCTGAGGGCCTCCCTGCGCCATCCCGAGCCAAGTCAACGAGCCCAAAGATGCAACTGAAGAAATACTCGATCTCGTCTCATCCCCTGAAGATGCAGAAATGACAGATAAAACTGATGACAAAACTCAAACGTCAAGAGAAATGCTTGCATTAATCTTATTAGCACTCCTTGCCTACAAAATGTCTCACACATCCTGTGCCAGCAATAACTGCAGCAAATATTTTAAACAGTTTCTGTGATGCATGTCAACCTGAGTTTTAAAAACAAGCACAATATATCCAACCAAAGAGGTGAAATTGCCAAAATTTAACATACCAACACAAAGAAAACACGGCAGCGTCGTTGGTACTCATTCACATTAGCACACGGGTGCTAGCAAGGTGCCTGTCAGTCTGTTGTTGTTTGTTTAGCCATATTGTTGCACCAAGCAACGATGACATACCATTGCTAGCTAGCAGACTAGCTGTCAGCATCAGTTACCCTCCGTGCATCACGCAAACAAACAACCACACCTGTGTTCCGCGAGGCTACAGGAAATAACATCACTAGTACCTGGAAACTGTCCAGTGTGACCTGTTACAAATTCAGCAACACAATTCCCGAAACGAGGCTTCTGTTAAATAAGATTAGCTCAATTCGCCAAGTGCTGGCAGCTAAATATGCTAATACTAGCCATAGCTTGGTGCTATTGGTTGGTCAGTTGTCACAAGCCTGGGTGTTGTTGGATTAGCTAGCCAGCCATGCTAAACTCAACGAGCGTTAGCCACTGACGACTTCATAAAACTTACCATATGTTAAGAGTCCTCTTCATGGCTCGGACCACAACCGAGTCGCGAGAAGAGGTGAGATATTTCTGAAATGTTACGTCACGGTTTGTCAATTTTTGTTTTGGCTAAATAATATGTAGTTTCGCATTCCAGCGTCAAGCCGCTACCGCTGAACTTCATACGAACAGGCTTTCTATCGCGATAATGGCATATTTTCACCGGACCAGGAAGTTGTTCAAACTGACAGGATCGGCGCTGATTGCATTCCATGTCCCTCTGGCGACCATGGGGCATAACTTCATTTAATTTTTACTCAGTTTTACTCAATAGCCCAAAATTCTCTTAGGAAAAATAGAGTACTCAATATAAATACAGATTGCTTCGACAAACTACGTCTCTTAAACATATTCACCCAATGCTAGTTTATCAACAAACATGAAATACTATTGAAATAATTTGTAATTAGGACATCAAAATTACAATAAGCACCCACCACAAATAGAATAGGACTGTACACACACTACACATCTAACACTGAAATAATAATACCAGTTTTTAACTAGCCATATAAACAATTTGATATTTTATTGTTCAAAAGTGTGGAAAAGGATAAACTGTCAATTTCCTACTCCAAAAAAGAGACCTATTCAACACTTGTATGTTGCCCTGTAGTCTATTTCATATTTCACATGCTTGCCTGAGTCTACAGCCTGCACAAACAACAGAAGAAGTCAGTCATTTGATCTAAAATCATTTTGCATGTTAATTGATTCTGCCACACTGACATGAACTGACAGTCACAATGTAAATACATGTAAAAAAAAATGTAGAAGGAAAAGCAGGATTGACATGACAGAAGATGGAGACACCTGTCTCAGCCCCTATCACCACCCTTATTAAGTTCATTTTCAATTTCTCAGTTGACTTTGATCTGTGAAGAACTTTTGACTGAATTCACAAAATTAAATTCAGTTCACTGAGGTGTACACTCACAAAAAACTGAAGTGTCAGTTTAAGAGCCAGATGTGAAAGAATGTTAAGTATGTGCTGAAGTTAAACTGGAAAAATAAAATGACACAAGGGAAAAAGGTGAGACAAAGAGGAGAGGATGATCGGGAAAAAAAATAGTGAACATGGCATGTACACTATTGTCTGCTAACAATCCCACAGTGCAATGATCTGCATTGAGAAAATTACTGTTTGAGTGGCTGTACAGCTATTAGTAATTATGCAAAATGATGATGATTAGTCAGTGTCTAAAATCTGAATTTAGGTATTCTTTTTAAATGTAATTAATTTTATTGATTGATTGATTGTGAATGCAATGCACTTCCATAAACAACTCATTAATTATCTAACATATTATGATTTATATTGAACTTTGAAACTGTAACAGCATAGTCAGAATTGGTCTAGTTGTTTTCACTAGGGGCCAGTGAGAGATCCAAGAATTTTGAATAAACACTTGCACTTAAATCTTGTCAAAGAGACAATAACAGGAAGGAACTTAGATGCATTTCTTTAAAATAAACTGTACATTATTGTTTTATTGGTTTGACAGTCATGACTTCAGCAGATTAAACAACGGCTAAATAAAAAGCATATTATGCAAGGTCAGAGCATGGAACTTAACTTTAGACTGGTGCACATTTGCATACTGTAGGAATCTCTGGCAATGAAATAGTATAGTACCACTGCTGGTGGTTAAAAAGACCTTTGATGCAGAGGTACGTCTTGCCTATGCCAATGCCAGTCAGGAAACAGGGCATTTACATTAAGCTACTTTTTAAATTCACTTTTAAAATTACTTTTCATGCACTTTGCAAAGCTCCTATTTGAAAAAAAATATTTTCTTACTTAAAGATATTTGCTGTGTGACTTTAAAACAGCCTGGTATGAATGTGGCCTACTCTGTGCACAGGCAGCACCTGTTATGTGGTGGAGCTACTTTTTCCTTAGATGACAGCTGAACACAGTCACAGCTGGGGAATTCTAACAGTGCTACTCATGCAGTTCAAGACAGAAACAGTTCAACTGCAAACCTCACAAAGACAAATCCTGCTTTATATCTCAACATCCATAAGTTCAAAAGAAATGATATTTCATTCTAATTTCAGAGACATATAAAAGCCCAGATAAAATAAAGTTTGCTTATTTTCCCAAAACACCACAATGTTTGGTTTTAGTTTGAAGGGTCTGGTCGATCATGTCAGCAGCACCAAATTTCACCTTTGTTAACTTTGTATGACTCAGAAAGAGACTTAGGGATCGTATAGTTCATCACCTACAGGATGTGGTTGTTTGGTTAATGCATGTAGCCCCACAGGAAGAACACAACAGAGAAAACCTGACATCACTCAGGCCTTCAGATCATCTCACAGGTACACCATTGCTCAGGAATAACTGACTATTGTGCAGCTTGGTGAGATTCTTTCATTTTCTTGAAAATGCAGTGCAGACATTGCACCTTTGCTTTAGCAGGGTGTGTGGTGCTGTACCACCACAAAAATATTCATGAGGGTACCAGGACTGAACTGCAGCAGCTGAGGCTAAGGTCCAGTCTGACTAAGGTTAGCTGTCTTTACAGTGTTGATTAGCTGCCACAGCTGTGGTGCTATTTAAAGCAGTCTCCTTTTTGTCCCTGATTCCCTACAGGACTCAGAACAGAGGACGACGGAGCTCCTTTGCCCTGGCATGTCACACAACAGACCCCCCATTCAACTCACATCCTAATCTGATCATGAGTAAATGGCCGGATGAAAAGACAAACTGCAAAATGCTTTTCTTGCAACTCTGTTGGGTAAAAATGTAATTTTAAAACAGCTATATTATATAATATATGCCATATTTAGATAAATGTGCTACCAAAAATCAATGCATCTATATCAATGCATAGGGTCACTGTCAATTCAATGGAAAAATGAGGCTCAGAGAGAACAACATAAAGACTAATAGAAACCATGCCGCCTTTGAAGATGTGCACGGTGCTTGAAGAACATTGGCTGTCTTTAAATTACATTCCAACCACTCTTACACTATGTTCAGTTTCTACTCTGTGTGTACCTTTGTTGAATTGTCTGCATTTAAAGGGTTTAGCTTTTTTAATCAAAAAGACTTAACTTTTTCTATTTCTTTCTATTCCATTTATACTGTACCTCTCAGATTTCACTTCTAAGTCTTTAAGCCTCTAAACCTTAAACATGACACAGTGTGTGACTGCTGATATTATCATTTACATTTAACCTATAAAGTGTTAGAATTATTAGTTGTTAGATTAGTTACTGTAGGTTGTGACAAAAATAATCCAACAGCAACATCAGTGATGGTTTTCGTGTCATATCTCTCAAAAAAGTTCAGAACATGCCTACAAAACATGACTGGGGACTTAATGGGATTTGTCCTTGAGGTCTCTTTGGTTTGTGATTCAGCAGCCTGGAACCATTAAAGCACACAAAATGTGTCTGTAGCACATTATCTGTTTAAATGCGTCCAAGTGAACCAATAATTAATCTTAGTTTATAGGCACACTCAACCACTAGGTGGTGTACTCTATTGCAAATATACTGTAAAGCTGTGATTTAAAATATTGACAAACTGGTTTTGTTTGGCTCTTGACATAGTGATATGAGCTTCAATCCTCACCATGCGGCAGAATAACAGCAATATGTGGGGAAAACAAAGGGCTAGCTGGTGTCCCTCTCAACTGATAAGCCAGGAATCCTGGCTCTAACAGGCCAACAAGCAGACAATGATAATGTCTGTCTGTATTTATGTAGTGCTTCTAAACAGACCTGACCAGAAGAATGTTCCGTCTCTCTGGTGCTAGACAATTCAACTTCTTTAATGTCTTTAGTCCATACCTAGTGAACAATAAAGTGTAATAGCATTTTAATTAAAGTTAGCTATTTGTTAATGCATTCGGCTGTATATATACTTATATTTAATTATAAGTCCTGGAGAACACAGGATAATAAGCACTTAAATTTCTTATAGCTGCATAAAAACACCTTAAGGTATTGAGGAGGAAAGAGAAAGCAGAGAATTAAGGCAGACAAATGAAAGGATTGAAAACAAAAAAGGAAACAAGGAAGACACAAAACCATGTAGACAATAAAGAGTCCATCATATAAACAACATATAGTGTATCATATTCTATGCACTGTGTATTTAACAGCAGCCATTCTCATAACGCAGTGCAGACACAGTGTCACACACTGTATTATGGCTATTACAGACAGTGATAACGTAGAATCTTAAAATATCACTCCCATCATTATAACCTCATTAGTCAATAATCTGATAGGCCATTTAACGAAACACAGTGAGTATGTTGAGCAAATCGCCACAAATTAACCACTGACGACACGATCATTGGTCGTAGTAGTCCGAACAAAATTGCCAGTGATTTTTTAAAGAGAATTAACATGTTTATGCAGCTGTGACTACAAATAATATGGATGGGACTGTGTGCGCGCGGGCACGAGGCAACAGCTGAACCTGCGACAGGCACGCGCGGAATGCAGTATCCAATAGAAAGTAACTAGTAGACTTTTATGGAAACGACTCACCGACACAGAGCCAGCAACCAGTCAAGCTGGTGCACCGGGTGATCGCATCTCGGATCGTCTCGCTTGGTTTATAGCTACTCGAAGGATTTTTAAAAGTCCAAAACAGGAGCGCGCCGAAGAGGTAAGGTCTGCTTTTTGTCGATAATGTGACCAGAGGTCTTTAAAGCCATAAAACAGCCTGTTCATCATTACTTAGCAAGGCCAGAGCTACCTGAATTTATTTAAAATGCTCTTAAACAGATCATAGGCTGCATTATAACTTAGAGTGTTTTTAAAATGCTGTTTGCCACATCATGTGATCTGGCACACAGAAACAAACGGTATAGCCTAATTTGGATTGTGTTAGTATAATCTGCTGGCTTGTAGTCAGAATGATACATTCATCTACCTGTTTATGAGTCAGACTTTCAAACTTAAAAAAACAAAACAAAAAAACACCAGTCATCTTGTGCCAGCTGAGTAGCTACAGAAACAGGACATCGCCAGTCAGACCTAAAATGTTTTCTTGAACTAGAATTCCTTTGGGGAGTTAATATTCTCCAAGGCACTAAGAAGTTAAGAAAAATGATTTTGTTGAATATTTTGAGTCAGCAATTTGTATTTATTAATGCACAACAGAGGAAACATTGTCACAGGCTGCAGTTTGAAAATGACAGCTGAGGATATAAGACAAGCCGTCATTTTGTTCAGTCTCCTGACATTCATTTCTTTTTGTACTAGCATGGAGGAGGGCAGATGAGGTGAATCAAAATAATCAACAGGAAATATTTAGCAGAACAATAAACACAAGGAGATGAAATAAGAGCTTGCTTATTATGCGTTTATTGTTATTCTGATTCCACAAACTCGGCCACATTCAAAAGTCATGTATGTTTGTGTGGACAGAAACACAAATATACACACGGACTCCTTTCAACATACAGTTAATTAATTACAGTTGCAGGGGGATTTATTTTTATTCCAGATTGTGTTGTAAACTGGTTCTGAGATTCAGTGGAGTGGACATTTTACATTATCACATGCCAATGTGGACTCAGTGTTAACTGTAGGTTGAAAAGCAGGAACCAGAAATCACTGTGATATTTGATGATTTTTAGCAAAAATATAATCCAGACGGTGGCCCATAGTTCAACATTTCTACTGCTTGTCACACTGAAATGGCCAAGCTAGAGTAACATCATGCCACACTATGATCTTCATGCCTGAATAGAAACGGTATTTGGGGACACTGATAAGCAGCAGCAGTTTTATTGTTGGAAGACTAACTGTCCAAACGGACTCTTATTCATCCCGGTTGTCTAGCTCTTAGTCAGGCCATTTTGTCAACGGTCTGTGGGGCGACATGTGGGTGCCAACTTGAGCTCTGTCCAACCGCCTGTCACTCATCAGAAATAGCCATGATCACATGTCCTGGTTCCACAAGTGGGTTAAAAATAGGTCAGGGAGCTGCTATTGCACTCTTTCTCAACACACTGAAAAGAGGAATACCTCTCACGGCCCTTAACAATGTTTTTAAAAAGTGCATGTTGCACATATAAATTCCACAAGGAAAATAGTGATACTACAAATTCTAACTTAACTGGGGGAAATGGGGGTCCTGCAGTGAAAAAATAAATACATCTTAATATTTATTGTCTAATGTATTTTTCAATGCATTTCTTTAAAGAGTCTTATTTTGTTTTTGCAGTGTGAATCAATGAGTCACTTAATTGACAAGGGGTTTAATATTGTTAAGAATAAAAAAACACATATGATAATGAGGTGAAAGTAATGTGATGGTTTAAGTCAAATTTCTTTTGCATACTTGATGTGTAGACCAGCTCAGTGCGTTGTGCAATAAGATGGTAACATTTGATTCATTTTATCCTCCTTTGCTTCACAGGTAATATATTAAACAGAGCCTGTCAACTTGTCATTGTGTTGCAAACATGACGGAGGTGGCGCAGGTTTCGGCTGCAGTCGCCCACAACATAGATGGTGTCACGAATAAAAATAAACACAGCATGGGTGACACAGAAAACAAGGAGGATGTGGCAGTTAACAAGGGCAAGACTGCTGAGGAGAAAACCGAGAAGAAATCATACAGAGGGGACAAAAAACCTCGCCAAATGAATGATGAAGCAACAAATGATACACGGCTGAAGCATGTGGAGCACAAAAAAAGCATCACAGCCAGTAAGAAAACTGACAGATCAGAACCTGTTAATGGTGTGGCACAGGACACAGAGAAGAAGGTGGTGCAACCACATGCAAATGAAGACCAGAATATGTCTGATGTGGCACTTAAAAAAGAGGTGAGACAACAAAAACAATAACACCATTTTGTTAATTTGTAAATGATGTTACTCTCCTTCATACGACTGTTTCCCTCCAGAGAAACATTTCCCCTGCCACATAAAAGAACTTTCTCATTCCTTTGACTGTTAAACCACAGAAACTCCTCCGGTCCAGAAAGCTAGTGGCCAGAAGCTATGTGCCAAAGCTGAACAAAGACAAGGTGGACGTGACAAGCAAGTTTGAGACCATGCAGAAGACCAGGGAGGAGCGCAGCAGGCAGAGGAACAAGGAGGAGCAGGAGAAGAGGAAAGAGCAATACATCAAGGAGAGAGAGTGGAATCGCAGGAAGCAGCAGGTCAAAGATAGATAAACCCCACTAACCTCCAACCGTGACCTGCATGGCATGGGGTGACAGTGCTTACAGTCCGAGTGAGAATTCCCTGTTTCTATACACCACACCGCAACATCAACCATACTGTTTCATACTATTAACCTATTAATTATTTGTATTTCATATAATGATCAACTTAGGTTTGTGCTTGTTGTTACATTGGTAATGATTTTTTTTTAAATGGTTAATGTAACCATATTAATGTGCACAAAGAACACTATAGGGCTGAACCCCACTGAATGAATATTATATTATTGGATTATAATTAATGATGCACTGATGTATACTTCATTTTAATGTGTGCAGCTGGTAAAGAGTGGCCTAATTTTAATAACTTTACATACTGCTGGGTAACTTTGGATAGAAACTAAAGCTGTTAAATAAATATGGTGGAGTAAGTACACTATTTCCCTCTGAAATATGGAGAAGTACAGAGAAACTAAATGAAAATATTCAGGTAAAATACAAGTATCTCAAATTGTACTTAAATACAGTACAGAGGTAAACATACTTTCCACCAGTGCTGGTTTCAGCTTCTTAAATGTGAGCTTTGCAACTTTTTTATTTCATTGTAAACAGAGTATATTTAGGTTTTGAACTGTTGCTTGGATAGAAGAAGACACCAGAAAACATTGCCTTAGATTCTGGGACATTTGGGACATTTTTCACTATATTCTAGCATTTTGAGGATTAATCCACTGATTGACAGATCACAAATATAATGGACAGAACATAATTGTTCATTTCAGCCTCAGCATAAAACAATATTTAAGACAACTACTTTGGGATGCCAGAAATCAGAATTCAAGAGTTAAGAAAGCTTTTCTTCAGGATCGACTGTGGTGAAATAAACACAATGGTATAGTGTTTTGTGAGTAGATTATCAGTGATAGTCAGACAGAACAACCTACCGCCGTGCCATCTCTGGCCAGGTTTGTGCACCTAGGCTCATCTCCTGCCTGAGCAACAACACCACGGCCCAATCACAGGGCTAACTGCAGGTCATGTGACCCAGCTATTAGCAGGGATTATGCCCTTGTTCTTGCTGGGACCAGCATGGCCCCTGAGTGGCAAGGGAGATGTCATCCCAGCTAAACCGTAACCTCACCACCACTTTACATCTGATCTGCCACAGATAAAAGAGCTACTCGCTTCCAGTGATGAGGAGGAAGAGGTGAAGCCGGCAAAAGTAGAAAAATCCTACGTCCCTAAAATCACAGGTAAGACACACAGAGGAATACAAATGGTACAAAAGATGGATAGTCATTGAGGGGAGGAAGAGGAGACTGAAGGCTTGCGTCACTGTGAAATCCTCAGGTAGCGTGAAGGGAAAATTTGCAGAAATGGAGAAACAAAGACAAGAGGGAGAAAGAAAAAAGATGGAAGAAGAGAGAAGGAAGAGAGAAGCCCAGGACAATATGGAAAAGGCCAAAATAAAGAAGGAGTTGGCTCAGAAAGCAGCTGTGGTAAGTGAACCTGGGGTGAATTCCTCATACAGCATGTCTTGATGGTCCAGCGTTGCTTTTCTGATGAGAATGGTGTACTTGTATCTATAATGAGTCAGGTAATCCTCAGCCGCCACTCAGACAAGTTATTTTAAGCAGCATCTGAGATCCAAACAGTTGGCAGAGGCTGGCTAAAGCAGCAGCATTATTGACATTACCAGCATGTGAACTGATGATAAATGGGTGGCCTGTATTGGATTCTACTGCATGATACATATGGTAGTTTTGAAAGTTATGTAATGTAAATCAAAGTAATATTTTCAATCAGTATGGATAGAACAGTCTGAATAGGGCTTTTAGGCTTATTCTACCTTCAGACAAACGGTCATTCTTGGGAATGGTTATATAAGTATTCTTACAACAGGATATTAGAGGCATGAAAAATCCCAATAATTAAAAAAAATGTTGAGACTTTTCTAAAAACCCTGCGGCTCTTATAACGATGCAGATGAACACTGTTAGAAACACTGCTCCCTAAAAACCTGGTTTTTATCTAAAGTTTTTCAGTATTCCTTTGTAATGTCAAAACAACCTACAATTACAGTAACTATAGGAAGCACTGACCTGGAGATCTAGAAACAACTGGACCAGAGCTGCCAGGTGTAGACAGCAGATGACTGGCAACTGTTTCCCACACCTCCCAGTGACTAAATTAGCTCTAGACCTCCTTACTGTGACTGAATTAGATTCTGCTATCTTAGCCTGGCACCCATTCTCTGATCTACTGCAAACGGTGACATTAGGCAAATAGAGCTGCCTCCAACCCCTCAACATGCTCATATCCCCAGTTTGTTGGGGTCTGAATTTGTTTTTGACTGACTAATTAGTGTGATACACCATCTTCAAGATCTCAACCCCTGCATATATATGACTTACCAACATGATCTACTGTATATTTCATCATTTGTATCCTTACTTAGTGCCTTTGTAATTATACTTTATCCAACACCTTTTAGGAAGGAGATGATACAATCCTGATTCAGGTGGTTCCAGCAAAGCCATCACGACCTCCAGGCAAAATCAAAGTCAACTTTGAAGACATGGAGAAGAATCGAGAGGAGGAGCTGAAGAAGAAGGCAAAGGAGGAGAAAAAAAGACAATACGATGAAAACAGACGCTCCTTCAGA